ACTAATGGTGTGTACATAGAAATATAGAGAAACGAATACACACCGAGTATATTTACAATGAATTAACCGGGGCGTTAATGCAAAATCCCCGGTCTACTCGCCATTAGTTTAAACAGATTCCCAACGCTCCGGAGAGCTCCGCATCTACATAACCCGGGACCGAGTATGCGGCAAAATTAAACACTCGCCGCTGGAAAACTGGACCGCATTATCTAGCGCGCTGTCCTGCCGGCACTCTCCAATGGATTTTCTGCCGGATACTCGTTTCGTTCGGGGGATCGATAGGCGCCCTGATAGATTGGATGATGAAGAGGATTGAGAGGTTTCACCGGCGGATAGTCATTAAGCTTATAATAATTCGATATCGTGAAAAATTCGGGGGAGCTCGACGATTTTAATCGTTGAGCATCGTATTCTATACTCTATACCCTCCTCAATTATTTTGCGGATCACTTCATTGTGATTTGTTCAATTAAACCTGTTCCATTCCGTGATTCTCTTATTCAAGATCGCTGCCTAACGACAACCCGATAGACGTTGAACATCCTTGATACTTTAAAGCGGCATCTTTCGTTCAGTTGTCTTAATCCGTCAATGAAATAGTAATCACGTTTTAATCGATCCGTCTCTTCTCCACGAATCACGGTAACTGAAATACGACCTTCCACGGATATTCTACGTTTATTCTGTACTCCAGCTTCCTCAAAGATTTACTACCGACGTTCGATCGGTGACGCGTCCGCGGGATTCGATAAAGCGCGAAGGGCAGGGAAATAACGGGGCACGCAGCCAACGCGTGGATCACGTCAGCCGGTCCCTAATTAATTCCGAGTAATCGCGTAGAGGTGCGATCCGACGCGTCAGCGATCGTCACGCGTCGATACGTCGGAAGGGTTGCTGCTCATCGCGGACCGTTCGCGCGCTAAACCTTTCCCGACGCATCGCGGTGTCGTTTATAGTCAGCGAAACTTTTTCAAATCAAACTACTTTCGGGAAATGTACCTGGAATGTAAATTAGAGAATGAACATGCGACTCACCCGAATACTTCTCCGACTGCATCTGTTCTGTTGGCACGGCGTAGTTCCCAGTGGCGTTCGGCGGGCAGCCATTTCGATTTTGCTGCGTACGCAGAGTGTGAGTCGCGTGGAGAGACGGGCCGCGCGGCGGAACTTCCGGCGGCGCTGGTTCCGGCGGAGAATCTCTGCCCGTGTCTGTAAAGATTGTTCGAAATTAGCGCTTCGCCCGGTCGATCGAACGTTGTCGACAACAGGTAGCCTTCTATTCGTGCAGCTAAAGAACAACACACAGTCGCGAACTAGTTTCTCTTCTAATTGGAACACAGCGACATCGAACGATCTTAACCGCTGAAACTGTACGAGCAGCTTATACGTTGGCGTTTCGGAAAGAAGACACAAATGTTTCAGCGAGTTTGACGGCAATTCTGCCGCGTCAGCGCGAGTAACGTTTCGCGTGGTATAACCGGCACGGTAGCGCGACGCGGACGCGTGACAAATAACGTTTATTTCACGGCCGAATGATTTATGTATCGGAACAATTATATTAAAGTCCGTTCCCTCTGATTCGCGTCCCCTTATTCGCGGCGGTGTTCGCATAATACCGATTACCGCCCACTGGAAATGCGAGCAATTAAGCGGCATCAATAACTAACCATCTCCTAATTACGTTCCATGCAATGCGGGCGCGGGAAGGATCTATTTTGCGCGACGCTGTTTTCACGATTACTCCGGTTACGCGAGAGAAAAAAGGAGGAAACAAAGAGCGGAGTTCAAAGGGTGAGTATCCGGTCGAATAACGGATATGCCGGAGATACCTTAGAATCGCTGCATTAACCGCGTTTCTGTAATTCGTGTTACACTATCCGAATATCCAAAAGTGCACATCGAAAGCCACGATAGCTGCGCCACGCAAAATGCTAATGCCAGTGTGTTTCGTGCGTGCCAGCGTGCGTGCGTGAACGATGCTTGCACTGTATTCTGGTTTAGTGTCGTAGGCGGAGCAGCGGTACACGTCAATTAATAGATTAATTCTCGAGCGTGAATGTTCGCGCTTCGAACGTGAATTTTTCGGATACACGCGTCTCGTCGTGCGAAACGTACCTGATTGTGATATTGTGTCGACTATCGTTGATATTGTTTAGTATGAAAACACGAAAACAAGAATGCTCGAAGGTATAACAGTTTGAAGGCTTCGATTTCAATGTTCCGTTCGCCGTTTATGTTTCGTCAATGTTCTCGCGTGTTCCCGTGAATTCTTTGAGCCGAACGTGCCACGCGTTCGAATTAACACTGAAAGCGAATTTTTCGGACAGCGAGCAGCCCGGCCCTCCTCTCTTTTAAACGCGTTATCGCAGCGTTAAAGCGGGAACGGCGATTCTGAAAAAAAATTTTTCATTTCCGGCCGGGACGCGGCGTTCCGGCCCTCGGGGCGGCGCGTTGCGGGCGTTTTCGTAGCCAAGTTGCTTATAAAGTTATTCAAACTTGTAAGGAACTCTTCCCAGCGAATAATTAAAGTTACCTAAATATAAAGGGTACAAAAGAAAGGGCTGCCAGGCATGCTCCGAGCAACACAAATAGCCGGCGTTGCGTCCGTGAAAGCAGTGCCGTGTTACACCTACACAACGTCGCGGGAGCAAACACTCTGTCGCGATCGTTTAGTCGGATTTACGGGAAAAGTGTTTCGGCCACTTTGAAGCACCGAAATCTGACAGAACGGAACGCAAAGTTGTACAACGTGAAACGCACCGGCTGGGCATAATTTCCATCGTGACAAACTTTTTACCGTAAAGCGAAAAATGTGGCCTTGAGTCGTGCGCTCGTATTATACGCACTAATTCTGAGGATTCCCAAGTAAATTCGCAAATTGAGAATTCGTTTGCGAGGACTTTAAATTCACCGAATTTTAATGAATTCGTTTCAATATATATTCTTCGCGAGATGGCAGTGCTGAATTGATGGTGGACTTCAACCCCTTGGCCTATGATATATTTCTCAACTCTTGTCGATACTGCTGCTTTGTCATTAACAATTTATTGGAAAAAGAGAAAAATTCTAAGCACATGTTATGCCTATGTTTCCTTTTAAGTATAATAGTTGATTACAGAGGAATAATATTTACTTTGAAGTCGAATGAACTGAGTGATACATATATTTGTTGAATGATGTTGAAAATATTCACCACGAGTCAAACTCGTTCTAGAACAAGGGGTTGGTAAAATTTGTATTTTGAAAGGTTTCATTGGAATTTAGACGGAAACGAGGTTTTTGCGACGCGACGTAAACAATTACTACGAAACCGTGTGTCGCTACTAGCAAGGAGAGCATCTTAGCGTAATTAAATTAACGATTTGCACTTGCTCGACGCAGTTTGTAGTTTATTAATGTAATCCATGTATGTTGCGCGCAAGAACACGCGAGCGTGAACAGGAACTGGCTGTAATAAGCGACGATGACGCGGTGAATCGATACGGTGTTAAACATACATATATATATATAATTGGGGCAATGTATATCCATTAAGGTTGTTAATGTTACAGGACACATTATTGTAAATCAGGGTTAACTGCAATACGGTGGTTTATTACGCTTTCGCGAAGCCGTGTAACTTGGTTGCGGCAACTCCCATGCTAGATAATGGAATTTCGGTCTTCGGCCGTTCTGGATTAAAATCTATTAACTTAACGATTGCTGTTCGGCCGGCGCGCGTTGTGAACAACCAACCACGAACGGATTTGATCAATGTGCAACGTCGTTCGCTCTCAAGCTGAGAAAATTCAAAGATTTGCAATCGATGACTATGCTATATCGAAAAGAAATTTGGTAATGTTACTTTCTTACAATTTTTCATTCATTAAGAAATTCCCATTTCGTTACTGGTTTCAAAGAGATCATCAAATAATTGGAATCCAAAGGTAACCTACAATTCTACGTAAATCCTGCAACTATTTTGCCACCGAGCGTTCGTTCACCTTCAATTTAATTCGCGATAATCCCCGGAGTCAGTGCAATTATTTCTTCGTGTCGTGTTTTAGTTGAGACCCCGTCGCGCTCGCGTTCGGCGTACGTGCACAAATAATGCAGCTGGGCATCGGCGTGTGTATCAGCGGTGTGTGTAATATTACGTGTGCTAACAGTCCCCGGAATGGCGACAAACAGTGCGCCCCGGTGCAGAGCCGCTAAGAATACGTCCGCCGAAAACACACAACAGCTACGGAGCGGGCAGAGAGACACACGCGATTTACATACCTGTGAAGTAAATAGGCCTGGGCAGACCTGTGCGTCGTGGGATGTGCAAAGAGAGAAAAGTGCATTAGTGCGGTGCGAGGTCGGTGCCTGTGCTCGTGTGTCGAAATTGGAGCGTGCTATTGCGCTACGCCAGCTTTCGCGGCGGGGTGCGGCGAGAATAAAGGTGAGGGGCGGTGACGATGCACAAACGAAACTGGTCGACGCGCGAACGGCGATGACGATGACCGTGAAAACCATGGAGAAGAAATCAAATAAAATAGAACGATGGCGGTGAAGCGTGAATACGAACATTGTAAATAACGTTGAATGACACGGGGCGAGTCGCGTTAAACGATAACGACGGTGTAACGGGAGCGTGACCCAAATCGCGAAGAATCGGCCACCGGTAATTAGACCGTTCAAACGCGGTTGCCGCGTTGACGGCTCGAAAACTTTGCTCATTAACGCCGAGGCTCGTTTCGTTTTTCATTAAAATTCGCCCGCCGCGATAATTGTGAGACGCAACACGTCTGAAACGCTGCATCCTGATCGTACCACGTAAAGGCATTGAACCGATCACCTGAGAATTACCTGGAACCTTCGAAATTTTCTAAAGGTTGAGAAGATTTTTGTTGAGGGTCGATTGAACGTTCAGAGTGTTCAACTCGGTTTACGCCCTTCGCTGAATTGTCGACGGTATATAAACCAAGTATGATTACGTTGGAATTAGAGTCGACGGAAATTACATGCTAGAACGAAAGAGAGGGAGAGAGGGAGAGAGAGGGAGAGAGGGTAGCGAACGGCGTTGGCGGCCGCGGAACGCAGGTCCCGATATTTTCCGTACTAAGCGGTAATAATTGCTTAATTAAACCGGACGGTGAAACGCGCAATGCGTTTCTGTCAGCGGCAGCCGCGTACGTCCCCTATCTTGGACAACTTTATCGTCGAAATGTACATTCGTTGCAGTTATTGAACAATCTGCCGGCATTGTTCCACCGTTGGGAACACCTGTAACGCTCAATTACAGAGTCGATATCGCGTCGTCGAGGAACGAGAAAAACGTCTGCCGGTGCGCGTCGTTCACCCTCGCGTGCCCCGCGATGAGTTATTTTCATCCCTCTCCCGCGTTTATTGCGAATCGACGACGCGTTTCGTTTCCTTCGACGCGGACGCGGACGTGCTCGCCGAGAATTAACGTCCGGATAAATTATTCATCCGTCGTTCGCCGATTTATGGATACGCCCGGCGCGGCGCGGCGCGGCGCGGCACTCGGACCCTTACACCGTTGCGTAACGCGCGTTTAATTAAAATTGCGATCTCGTTAACGGTTCCGTTCGAGGGGATATAACAGATTCCGCGCGATTCTATTCCGCGCGTTCTATTTTCGCAGTACAAACGGCTCTTTTGTGTCTCGATGAAATTCGGATTACCGATGCGCGTTTCAATCATTCCAATACGGAAAAGAGGCTCCGCCCTTTTTGCAATGTTTCCCATTGTTGTATTTTACGGGAAATATGAAAATTATCGGCGCCGGAACGTGTTGCCGACATATTATGCTAACGCCGCTACGCCGCGGATCGTAATTACTTGTCCGTCAATCTTTTATTTGCCCGCCGCGCGTGTGCGATGCGCGCAGATGCATCCGCGGAAATATGATGAAAGCGGAACAGTAGGCGATGTCGCTCGCATGCGAATCCGATCGATTGTTGGGCCGACGTCAACCTACGCGACATCATTGACTCGGCTACAAATTATATTGCGGCTTCTGATTGATTGTCGTTTATAACGAATCAAATCGAAATCAATTTTCTTTCATACTCGTCGAACCTCCGCGCGATACGATTATCGACGAACGCCCGCATCGACCTGAATCACGGGAATCCATTGTACTTCGATATACGTGTACTTTAACTCTAAACAATCGACATCTATTTCTTCTCTAAAAGAATATCCTTCCGTTCGGTTCGAAC